ATCCAATACACAGCTTAAATATCACATGGTTTCTCTTATTTGACACTTAGTATAAAAAAATAAAAACTGGGGGGCCAGGGATTTAGCTCAGTGGCACCAGGCCTGCCTCACAAGCAAGAAGTCCTGAGTTCAATCCCTGGTACCAAAAAACATTGGGGAGGAGTTGTTTTGAGAAAGGGTCTCATTAAGTAGCTTAGGCTGGCCTTGAACTCACAGCCATCCTCTTGCCTCAGCCTCCAAGATTACAGGCATGAGCCACCACGTCCAGCCAAAAAATTTAGAGTAAAACAAAAGATAGACAATAAAAAACAGGAACACAGATCTTTTGCAAATAGGAAGAGGTCAAAGAGTCGGAAGAGGGAGGGAGGAGAAAAGGGGACAGAAAAAGAATTAAGATATCCTATATAATGTACCAACTTCACAAAATGAATGTAATCATTATGTACTACAAAACACGTACTAATAAAAATTTTTTAAATTACAAAAAAAAAAAGAATCAGCTACGCCTTGAAAAACTGACAACCTGAGCAGAATATCTATGCAAACTAGGATGCAAACAGGTGCTTAATTTCCTTTAGAAATCTAGGGTATTGACACCCAGAGTATGTAACTTTAGAGCAACCACAATGCACAGGAAACCCCCAGAAATGGGAGTTCCCAATATGCTTCCCAACAACCTATCAAGAGAGCCATTCTGACCCCACATGACAGAGGATTTAGGGAAAGAGAAGATGCAACCCAATTTCAACGGAGATCAAACTAATTGTAAGTATCTGTACCTTTATTAAAGGAAATCTACTTAGTTTTAAGCCATTAACTCAAGAGGACATTTAAAAACTTGTTTTTATGATAACCATTATAATACTATTTTCTGGAAAAATACGACCAAAATAAAGCAGAATTTGCTGACATTATGTAATTAAAATTACTCATGAAAGAAAAGATCTTAAATATCAAGCAAGCTGAAATTAAGGCAAACATTTCCCTTTCCACCTGTCCCCAATCAAAAAGAAAAAAAGAAAAAAAGAAAATGAAAATTTCACCCATTCCATGTTCCCCTTTTAATCACTGGACTTGCAATGCTCATTGTTTTACTTAGAAAGTAGTACACTGCCAAGGCCAGGATACTCAAATAGTCATCAAATAAATTACGTGAACAATGAATAAAAACAATGGCTAAACGAGGCAAAAATGCAAGCAAGCAATCTTAAAAGCTCCACAGGAAATTTAAATTGGCCACCAGGAACAAGGTTTGGAATTGGCTGGCTTGAGGCATAAATTCTATCACAGCTAACAGGCTAATTTAAACTTTCTATATACATGTCTGTCCACTGACACCTAGTCAAAGATCTTTTTTAAAAAACTTTAGTTGTTAATAATGTAATAACAGCTGCTCATAGACAGCCCTTTCTCTTTATTACATGCATGATTCCATATCTAAAATTCTCAAAAGCAGCTAAGTAAAACACTCCCATAGGTTCCCTATTTACTTCTCTAGAAATTTCTAACCAGGGAACAGCTGAACACTGTCCTAGAATCAACATTTCCATGATTGTATTGTTATGACAGCCACTAAAAGCCAGAAATGTGGTCGAGGATCAACATTTCATGAGTAAACACAAAAAAATCTTTGCCCTAAAAACCAAAAGTATAATGTTCTACCTGCAAACCATCTAGTCTTTTAAATTCCAGTGACCTTCAAAGCAGGTTTACCTTTAAGATTCCCACTTCATTTCATAACCAGTTTTACAACAGCTAGGAAAACTACACAAACTTCTAAAATATTCACAGAGGTCACATTCTGCCCTCTGTCTAGAAATTAGTATCTATAATCCATAAAGTATGTTTTCTTTATGATGCTAAAATTGTATTTTAGACTTTTCCAACATTACTTTTAACAGGCCTAAGAGAGTAATGGCATGATAGTCTTTCTATAGTTTGCAATCGCTTTTACCTCCTTAGAGGACTTACAAACAAAAATAAATACATACAAACACTAAAAAACATCATTTTGTTTAGAAAAATAAGCCAAAGACATACAATTAGCTTGAGATAACAAAAAAGTTCTAAAGAATGTAATTCTTTTTTAAAGAAAGGATACAAAGGGCCAGGGATTTAGCTCAGTGGTTCTGGTGCCTGCTTCACAAGCGCAAGGACCAGAGTTCAATCCCTGGTACCCCCCGCAAAAAAGGATATAAAGAAGTAAAGGTTTTGTTCTGTTTTCCTTTGCAGGACTTTCATTATTGGCATGTAAACACAGTATTATTTCAGGGGCAGGGGTATAGGTGAGTGGTAGAGCACCTACTACACCATGCTCAAGGCCCAGAGTTCCATACCTAGCACTACCCCACCTCCAAAAAAAGAAGGAAAATATAATATTATTTCACTCGGGAAAAAGTCCCTGATTTACTGCAATTAAAAAAAAATACCTTTAAGCAGTGACTTATTTTCTTTCTATACTCATTTAAAACCAGCAAAGCATGTAATAACATAGTACCAAACAAAATTATAAACACAAAATATCAAAAAGCTAAAATTTATTCAATAGCAGTCTTGCCATAACAACTAAACCCTAATTATGCTTTAAAATATAACTTCAACAATTACACAAGAATGGCCAAAATATCAAATAAGGACACAAGTAAATTTCAGAGAATTAAATCTTCCAGAAAAATTGTTTAAAGAGACTGTATTTTTTTTTTAACCCGACAGTCTAAGAAGGACTGCTTTTAAATTTAATACAACAAAAACAATTTTTTCTAAGAAATCCAAGCTGTCAACTTACAGGTCACATTTCAACCTGAAGTGATTTGAAACAGGTATGGTACTGAATCCTTAAATATAGAGCATGTAATGGAAGCCTGCTGATAGATCCTTTATTCCACTGAGACTTGAAAAGCTGTAATAAGATGTAACTATAGAAAAAGCCAACCAAAAAACATTACCCTTTCTATATACTCACATACCACAGGCTAAGACTCCCTCCACCCTTTACATTTTATATTTCCAGTCAGATTTTCCTAACACTAGCAAAAGTCATCTAATTTATATTTAACCTAAGAAGGATTAAAATTTTAGAAAAACACTGACTACTCAAAAAAATTAAATTCATAATTGGTGAGCTCTTTTCATCCTCTGCTTCAGTACCTTGACAACTAAAAGTCAAAGAACTCTCTTTAAGAGGGAAATTCCCAGGAGGAAGGAGGCTCAGATACAGTCTGAGAGCACACAATGGAATCACAGCTGACGGTGCACATCTTTTTCTAGATGTCTCCATATGGTTGACAGGGGTTTTCCCCCTAGCCAAGCATTGAGGGACTTGCTACTCTCTGCCACCAAGAATCTAAGAACATATTCAAGGATTGGTGTAGAGAACCAAGTAAAATAATGCATTGCTGTTGAAGCTTACAAGTGAGAGAAAGGCACACATCATAGTGGCCTTCAGTAATTAAACTGACAATGGGGAGTTTTGAAGGTTACCAAATTTTGGAGTGGTTTAATTACAGTGCTCCATACTCTTATCAATCTAAATTAACATGTTTTATTTTTGTTTTGACTTTTATCACTAAAATAGTACCTCGAGGGGTACAGTAAAAAATGCAATTAATTTGTCTACGTGAGTACTCAAAAATCATACTGGATTGGGAATTAATATTATGAATTTGAAATGCTGTACTGCAACAGAATACGTTCCCTAAAACTACAATCTTTCGATTCTTCCTTAGTAACCCAGTACATATTAATAAAGGTTAGACTTAGAACCTAGTGTAGAAAACAAATATCTCATTAAAAGATCCCCAAATTAAATTCATAGTATATATTCATCCTTCATCTAACATTGTTCATTCTCTTAACTCCCAAAGGTTCTACAAATGCCAGCAGGGAAAAGCAGCGTTCCTGCTGTCAGGGTGCACTAACCTCACCAACAAAGAACAGGAGCGCGCACATGCACACACGCACAAAGCAATGCAACAGCTGCAGTGTTTTTAAAAGACTGCTATCCTACGGAGAAACCTGTGATCCTCAGAGAATCAAAGCCATACCCTCTCTGTTCCTAAAAGTCAAGAGTTGAGAAAGTCACCTGACTGAACTCAACAGACACAGCCAATGATGGCTCCTAAGAACCGGTAAACCAGAAAAGTATCCACACGCTGTCGAATTCAGCAATGTTTAAGAAAACTAAAATTATTTTTAAGAATCTTTTGTGTGGGAGTAAGCTGGCAAACTACATTCTACTCAGTTTTTTTTCTTTCTTTTTTTTTTTTGCCCTTCTCTACACAAATATTCTTTAACTAGCTTTGCTCCTTAAATACCCCACTTAATGTTTCAGTGAAGCTTTGGTTCCTAACTGCATTTTCTTTACGCACGACAGAGCTAAAAGAAAAAAAGAAAAACGCATACCATAAACAACTTTTTTATGTCATCCCCTAAATACTGAACTTTGAAACGCACTTTGGGAATTGGCGGTCTAGTTAAACAAGGAACCACTGAAGCCATCACAAACAGTGATGCTTTGCACCCCAATAACCAACTGACTTTAAGGATACCCCATGCCTTCATTCTCAAGGTACTCTTTCAAGTTTCATTGTCCTACTGCTAGGGTGACAGACCGAAACTGACACGTAGGTAAAGTGATAACGTCTAAGATCCTCAGCACGTAAACCAGGAGGTGAGGTCCAGGACGCGATTACACTTGCCATTTTAGAACCCGGGTGAGAGTTTCTGCCACATCCTAAAGTGCCTTTTAGACTTCGTCGTGTCTAAACGCCTCTTGGCATATTATGAGAGCAATACATTATCTCGCGTACCTCTACGTGTCTCCCCAGGTCAGAGCCCCTGTAAGTGACACTCCCCCAGCAAGGTGCGCGTGACAAGGGATGAACAAGAGTGGCTAGCTCTTGGCGTCTCCATGACTCCCCCGCCCCGCGTGCAACTCTGCTCCAACTGGTCCCGGAGAAAACCCGCCCCCTTCCTTCCTCGGGCCCCCACGATTGGCTTACCGACACCCGGCAGGTCAGCTCCCCGCCTACGATTGGCTCACTGCCCCATCAGTCAGACGCAGCAAGATTCGGGTCGGTGGGAGGGGAAGACGCTGGAGGCGGTGGAGTGGGAGTGGGATTAGAGGACGAGGTGGCAGAGGTGGGCGTTCAGGCTCGGGCTCCGGTTTGGGAAAGTTTCCCCTGCCAGTGATGGACCCAGAAGGCGTCAGGCCCAGTCTAGCTCCCGGCCAGTGGAAGGGGCTCCGGCCCCGATTCCCGCCCCTCGGTCCCGCAGGCCCCGGAAACCACTGGGGGGGGGAGGAAGAGGGAGGGACCATCTAACGAGGGACCGACCCACCCCCGATCTCGGAAGAGGCGCCTCCGGGACTCCCCGGAGGGGCAGGGGGCGGGGAGCTGCAGCCCGCGGC